AGTGTGGATGGGCGCGAGATCTTGATGAAAAAGGAAGTTCCCGTCGGGGAAGAGACCATTCCGAACGAAGGGTATAAGGACGGTGTCCACCACGTAGCAGTAACTGGTCGATGTCAGCCTCCCGACTATGCGGTGCAGAGGACCGAAGCCATGTTTTGTGATGGCACCCCAAACGTTCACGGACGTCCTGCCGCTGGAAGCAACGCGCTGCACGTAGGCAGGATCGTTCCTGCAGGAGCGCATCGACCCTAGTTGAGCGGTGTGATTTTTCAGCCAAGCTATTGAACTGTATACACAGAAATTACGCAGGTAAAGAGGAGAAAGGAACAAAGACTGTCACGACTACCCATATAAGCCAACGATAATAAAAAACAAACAAACACCGTAATTAGCTTTAACTAACAATGGATACATTGCGAATAACATAGCAGAAAATTCAACTGTTAAGGGACCCCAGCCTTTTATCAAACGGAATTGCAGTAAATCACGAGTGTGTAGCGAGAACGTAAACGAACGACAAATTATTTCCGCAATGAAAAACAATTATCAAGATCTACGTAGAACAGCTAGCATACTAAGCAGGCCTTACCGTGCGCCGCGGGGTCGCCACGCACGCACGCATTCGTCTTGCCTGGTGGAGAACGTCGATTCGTCTGAAAAGACGGCCCGGCCCCAGTCATCCGCCGTCCACGACGCATGTCCCATCGCAAAGCAGAGCCTCGCTTCCTTGTTTGAAGGAGATAGCAGGGGCTTCTGCGCTGCCATGGCGCTATGCAGGCCGGTGCTTGCCAACCTCCAACGAATTGTCACGTCCGAAACGTCCAATTCCAGCTCCTCTCGGATTTCCCTGGCCGAAAGAAAGGGGTCCTCGACGACAGCGGCAATAATGTAACGGTCCTCATCCTCGGTCGTCGCTCTTGGGGGAGTCCTTCGAGGTGCGTTGTGGATCCGGCCTACATAACGGAAAGCTTGAACGATCCTATTAACCGTCTTTAGAGACCTTTTTACAAGGGCCCCGATGGCCCGCTGCGAGTGCCCTTTCTGGGAGAGCTCGATGAGCAATCACCTGTCCGCCTCTGGAACTCTGGCCATGACGAGGTGCAGCAATCAGCAATGCAAAGGCGCCTAAATTTATCAAGCACACCGCATGCGGGAGAGGGGGCCTCGAATATTTTTTTTAATAAAATATAAGAAACAAAAAAGGTATGATACTGTATCATGCATCAAAATATTCGCCTGCTTGTCGCATGCCCGTGGGCTGACAAGTTCATCTACACGCATTTTAACCCCTGCGCTTCATGCGACATGCTTCGCGTAGAAGACGACGCCCGTAGCAGACGACGCGCGAGCGCTTCGATGACGCGATGCGCGCGATGAGAGCATATTCCCTCAGCAGGCGCGATGCGCATGCGCTGGAACTTGCGCGCCGGGCCGTTAGGCTGCTCTGATAGTACCCACTGCCACGCGCTCCGGCGTTCCCGCTAACTGTGATCAAAGTAGTACCTCCGTCCCCCCCCCCCCCCACACACACACACACACACGCACGCACAGACAGACAAAAAAAAAAGGAAAAAGCAACATAATTTATAAAATGAGACGTCTTTAATAATGATACGAAAATTACATGCATTTACCCAGTTCATTGCCGAGAAATATGACAATCTACGTAGAGAAAATGCGGGAGTGGAAATTATTAGAACACGCGGAGAAGCCATAGCGCGAGCTATGGCTAAATGACTACGGGGTAGACACGAAGCCTTTGTCTCTACTGAATCTTTGAATGTATTCGAAAGCGAACGCCAAACGCCGGACGCCAGACGCCGGCGTTCGACGTTCGAACCCGTTCGGAGTGTGAGTAGAGACAAGGGCAGCTAGCTTTACATCTACTCACTAATTATTCCAACCAGAGCTCAGCGTTCCGACACCTCCGCCACGCACGCATCATCTCCTCTACCTCAGCCTTTCCCGCATAGCTGGTTATCCCTTTCTAACGGTGTCCATATTTACGAGACATGAATTACCACGTCATAATAAGGCGGAGTTTAGTCACGATTACAGAGAACTAGTGAGTCTTTTTTTCTTTTTTTTTTTTCTTAATTTCACGGGGTTCTATAACAACTACCGCGGTACAGGCCCCTGCAAATTCAAATGAAAAATCTCCGGGTAGGACAGTGACACTCGCAGTAATGTCACCTTTTCTTTTGCGGACAGTATAGCGCGTAGCAATAACAAGCTGCTCTACTCTATCGGCTACACAGAATACCGAAGTAGTTCCGCTCCGCGAGCAGGAAGGTGGGGCACCGTTGTTCGAGTACTTTGTCACGGGAGCCCTCCCCGAGGGAGAAAGGTGGGTGGGCGCCGACGACGCCTTCCGAGTTTGGTTGAAAGACCCGAGAAATTTCGGGGAGGGACCCGCAAGGTCGGACCGATCAGGCCCCGAAAGAACGCCACCATGCCTCATTTGAAATCGTTCGGGCTCATTGAGCGAACCCCGGAGAGTCGTGAGTGAGTGAATAAACTTTTATTGTAGCGACGTGTGACAAACTCTCGGGTGGAGACCCTAGTCCGGGGCCTTTGTTCGGCTCTGAGCGAGACAGAGGCTCACGAATACAATGACCCGCTGGATGTTCCCAGAGCCTGATGCGACGCGAGAGCCGGCTTTCCGTGGCAAGTTCCTGTGTTTAGCCTTAAAAATCGAAACAGATTTAGATATACGTGCAACTTCAAACGAAAAACTAAGATAGTAAAAAACGAAAGTGGCAGTGACTTTTATCTCCAAAGTAAAAAAATGAGTGAAAGGCAGAATTTAAGCAGCGGCAGCGTAAATTAGTTTAAAATACATTTGACAGACGTTTCGAGGAGTGACAAAGAACCCACATGTTTATCAATTTCCTCGCTAAATTTAACAAGAGAACTGACAGTGCGTAGGTCATGTGCAGCGTTGTAGGCGCTACCGAAGAAAAGTAACGGAGTACGTCACTCGCTACTTGCAAATAAAAGGAACGCGTTACCGTAGCCGATAAAAAGTAACCTACCTTACTTTAGCGTTACTTTTTTGTATTTATGAATTAAAACGTTTTACTCTTTCGACTTTACAAATACGCATAAGCGCCATATTTCAAGCAGTATTATGTAAGTCCAGAAACTCAACGTAATCACATTATTTTTTACGGCGTAATTCTTTTAAAAAAGCCTCGGGATGAATATGTAACGTGTAGCGTAACTGCATATAACACGTTATTCGAAATCAATAACGTAAGTACGTTACCCGTTACAGTTTAAAAAAGTAGCAATCGGGAGTTTTAGAAAACCGTTTTTTGCACATCCGATACGGTGCCGTGGGCCGTCCGGTACGAACTGCGCGTGTGAGAGGCTTCAACGATAGCTCATGCGCACTTCGTAGCGGAGGCCATGGCGTACTTTATTGGATGTGCAAAAACGGTTCCCTAAAACTCTCTAGTATGTTACTACGTTACCAGAAAAAGAACGCGTTTGCGGTAATGCCGTTACCTGTATTGCGTTACCGCCATCACTGGCCATGTGACAGCAAATTTCCCGCCATATTTTCTAGATGGAATTGGTCTATACATATCATGCGACGCTGGGTCACGTGATGTTAATTTTCCCGCCAGTTTTAGTGGGGAAACTGAATTGGTGCATAGGTTTCATGACGTCAGATCACGTGATATCGATGTTTGCCCCTAAAATTGAAGCGGGAAACTAAATGGGTGCGTAGGTCACATGCCGTGAGGGTCATCACAAAATGCAGCGTAACGACTAAATTGGGGTATACAGTATATCTAGAAGCCTCTGAGTGGCAGCCGACGTTTTGATAAGAAACGTAAGACTTCTCTTTTCTTAGCTTACGCGCTACCTCTGAGACTCCTAAAAGGTTCCGTTTAGGGTTATTTATACTGTGATAACTGGGCCTCGGAATGCACTGTCATATCACGAAGCGGGCAGCGACCTGGTAGCTATTACCATAGTATATATATACAAGTGTGACTTTCAATAAAGTTTTGTTTTTAGTATGGCGTCCAGTGTGCGACTTATTACACCTACCAGCATCGATCACGTTCGTGAATTGTGATCTCGTAGAGCTAGAATGTGAAATCTCTATAGTGACTTACAAATTGAAATTATTTGATGCGTTTGAGTAACGAAACATACTTAAAGGGTCCGTAAATAGGGCGCTGATGGCCGGTAATCGGATGACCCTTCTCTCCCGTACTGTTTTATCTGGTTATAGTAGCCAAAGGTCCTCCCTGTCGCGCCTCATGGTCCGACTCGGCTGTCGGCTGCAACGTATCTAATTTTTTTCTTCTATTTTGTAGTTTTTACGACTTCGTCGTGTTAAACCACCGACAAGCCCGACTAAGTTGATGGTTCTAGAGTGGAAATAATATTCTTGTTCACTTTCAATACACTGCGAGATTTTCGGGTTGAGACAAAACAACTGTGTAGCTGGAGTGGAAAACGAATGTGAATTTCACAATTGCAATTTGCTAAGAAAGAAAGCAGTGCAAATAATCAAACGCTGAGTCCTGCCTTATGTTTTGTGAACTGCCTCTTCTGAGCTCTAGTTAGCCCAAAGAAAACATACCTTCGTATTTCTTTAAGAGGGGCTCACGAGTGAGGCTCTTGTCTAAGGATTTAAGAGACGGTGTTGTGTTTGTCCCCCTTTTTTATTCTCGCCTTGTCTCAAGGTTTTTTCTCACTAGGATACGTTAGTCGTTACTCGCAAATAAAAAGAACCCGTTACCGACCTACGTTACCTCAATATAAAAGCAACACGTTACCGTTACCGTTAAAAAGTAACGCACTTTAAGTTTTGTATTTATGAATTAACATGTAATACTCATTTGACATTACAGGTATGCATGAGCGCAGTATTTCAAGACATAATATGTACATCCAGAAAATGAATGTAGTTACCTTATTTCATATAGTTCTACCAAAAAAAAAAAACATATCTTCGCGGTTCCTTAAAAGGGGCTCACCAGTGAGGCTCATGTCGAAGGACTCCGCGCCGATCTTCCTCAAGTCCTCGACCGTCCTCCAGGTAAGCGTGAGCAGCCTGTTCTGCGAAAGGTCCACGTTCACCAGATTGGGCGCTCCGACGAACATGTTGGCAGGCAAGACGCGCAGCCGGTTGTGGGACAGGTACAGGACCGTCAGGTGCGCGAGTCCGTCAAAGGCCACCGGATCCACCTCGGAGATCTCGTTGTACTTGAGGTCGAGTTCGGACAGGAGGGGCATGGCGCCGAAGACCCGGGCGTCCAACCGCCGCAGCTTGTTCCTGAACATGTCCAGACGCTTCACCTGGGAGAGGCCCTCGAACGTGCGCTCGGTCAGGTTGGTCATCGCGTTGTCGCTCAGGTCGAGCTCTTTCAGCTTCGAGAGCCCCGCGAAGGCGAGGTCCTCAATGACCTCGATCTGGTTCCGCTCAAGGAACAGGTAGGTCAGCAGGGGAAGGTGGGGGAACGAACGCGTCGTTAAACGCTCGAGTTTGTTGTCTCCCAGTTCGAGTTTCCTCAGCCGTGGTAAGTGGGCGATAGAATCCTTCTGGAGCTGCGTGATCCCGTTGGAGTCGAGAGAAAGGACGGCGAGCTTGGAGAGGTTGTAGAAAGAGTGACTCTTCAGAGAGCCCAGCTCGGCCTGCGAGAATTTGAGGCGATCGAGGAGCGGTTTCCGACGCAGGAACACAGTGGGCACGAAGTCCAACTTATACGTCTCTCCGAACGCGGTGAAGGTGACCGCCACGACTGACGGTAGCCTTTCCAGGGACTTGAAGACGGCGTGGTCAGCCGACAGCGTCCTGACCACGAAACACGTCACTTCCGTGCCGCCCTCCATACCGGGGTCCCGCACTTCGTCGCAGCGACAGGACATTGGCTGGTCTGCGGGCTCACAGACACTGGGGGTCAGCTCTTCTGTGGTTCCCGTCATCGTATGCGTCTGCGTGAGCAGACCCAGAAGGAGGAGTGCCGGAGACCTGTAAAAGCGAACCGGTGTTGCGCCATCTCAGGATTTTCGAGGAATGGTCGTAACAAACACGGGGATTCGTATCATACGTACACACGTTGAAAATATCCCTACTCTTTTCAACACTCTTAGACCATCCTGAGTGCAAACTGGCCCACCGTGCATCCAAAACACGAGTCATCAATGTTTCTTTTTAAAAATTTTAGGCAGCGGTAACAGCGGGCGCACCATGGCACTTCTGTGGTCATTCAGCTCGCAGTTACAAAATAACCTCCTCTCATTTTGCCACCGAGCCCAGCCACTGGAGTGTAATACGGATTGCCGTTCTTAATGGTTGAGACGATTAGAGATAGATTTGTGCCACGTGTGCATCACGGCACGATGTGCATGAAGAAGCCTCTGAGAGTGTTCTTCCCTCGACATCACGTGGCAAGTAAACGGCTCCGATTGATGGAGGAACTCTGCAAATGTCGAGCAATGAAGAAGAGGACTATGAAATATAAGTGCAATCAAATGCAGAGTTGATGGCGCTGGCTTGGGATTAAAAGTCGTTTTAGAGCGCAGCTCTTAGGGGCCCGCTTCCGGCTTGAGCGGCGTCGGCGTCGCCGTCGGCGTCGCCGTCGCCGTTGGCGTCGCCGTTGGCGTCGCCGTCGGCGTTGCTGTCGGCGTAATTGCGCGGTGCATCATGGGAAATGTCCCATAATGCACCGCGCGAGCCCCCCACCGGGGTCACGTGACCTCGTGGGGGGCACGTGACCCCCCCGAGGTCACGTGACCCCTGTGCATCATGGGAAATGTCCCATAATGCACCGCGCGAGCCCCCCACCGGGGTCACGTGACCTCGTGGGGGGCACGTGACCCCCCCCGAGGTCACGTGGCCCCCCGAAGTCACGTGACTCCCCTGAGTTCACGTGACCCCCGCCGATGTCGCGTGACCCCCAATGACGTCATCGTCACTGATGACGTCACCGGCATCCACATCGTCATCGTCATCATCACTGATGACGTCACCGGCATCCGCATCGTCATCGTCATCATCACTGATAACGTTACCGACATCCGCATCGTCATCGTCATCATCACTGATGACGTCATCAGTGACGTCACTGATGTCGTCACCGGCATCCACATCGTCATCGTCATCGTCACTGATGACGTCACCGGCATCCGCATCGTCATCGTCATCATCACTGATGACGTCACCGGCATCCGCATCGTCATCGTCATCATCACTGATGACATCATCAGCGACGTCACTGATGACGTCACCGACATTCGCATCGTCATCGTCATCATCACTGGTGAAGTCATCAGTGACGTCACTAATGACGTCATCGGTACCCGCATCGTGATCGTCAATGATGACGTCATCAGTGACCTCAGTGATGACATCATCGGCATTGGGGGTCACGTGACCCCCAAGGTCACGTGACCACCCCCTGGTTAGGTTAACCCCCCCCCCCCCCCCCAGTGCCCTTCCCTCCTCCTCCTCAAGAGCTGTGCTCTAATTTGGCGTTACAGGGAGTTGTAAGCAGCTTTCACTTTTTTTAGAGGTACGCTCGCACCCTCCATCTATTTCGCCAAAACATGGTGCGGGTTGCAAGGAAACCATGTTTTAGCACGAGTGTAGTTTCAGCGGCTTATTTGTTTGCCGGGCGGCACTTGGTCCGAGGACCGTTCGCTCGAACCCCATTTTCACTTGATGGCTCTACTTGGCATTCCCGGAGAGTCAGAAACATTGCAACTGTTAAGCTAATGTACCAAGAGGACAGCCGTCTTCGGAGTTTCTTCCAGGAAAAGACCGCAATCAGTGTGATGGCCAACTGCATCGAATGTGAAAGCTTATTCGAAAATCCAAGGCAACAACCGACGTGTTTTATGGCCTAATTTTTACCGTCTTCCCTAATTAGATGGGAAAACTGCGGCGAAGTTCTGGCGCCTTCGGAGTGTTGCGCTCGCCTGCGCATGGTCTCGTCCGAAAATAATCACGGTGATTGCAACCCCACTCCGGCTACTGTCAACTCTATGTAATAGAAAGGTTCGCTTTCCGAGGAGATATCATGCTTGAGCCACCGTGCGGTTTCTGTAACATAACAGTGCTCTTTTTGGTCCTGACGGCTTTTGTGGTTGAAGGCTTGCGAAAAGTATTAACCAAATTGGTGCTCAGAGGATTTACCAAGAGACTGTTCGCTGGCTCCATCCTTACTAAAACCCTGTTATTAAGGTTCAGTTTTTTATTAAATTAATTATGTTCGCTCTTTTTCGACAATCAACTTTTCTCAAAATCTTGAGCGAAATAGGCAGCCCCTTCAAATGTGCAATTAGCGAGTCATTCTTCACATAAAGTGGTAACCACGGAAGAAGAATTGGAGTGAAGGACACAGCGAGGATCCATTGAAAGAATGCAAATGTTACTTCACTCTTCACGCGAATAAACGTTGATAAAAACACGTATCTTGCTATAGGTAAAGGCTGTTTTGTTCACGCAGTGAAGCAGTACTTGAAACTTCGATAGCTAAAACAAATTTGATTATAGATTAGCAAAAAACGCCGGCTGCTCTGAAGGGTGCTGTAATACGGTATATGAAAGGTTTTCAAGCAATCTCTACCCGCAGAGATCTCAGGGAGGCAAACGATCTGATCTACGGAGGACAGGCGGCAAATGACAAAGTCAGAAAAATGTATTTACCGAAATCTTAATTAATCTACGTAACAGAGGGCATGTGATCGTACGAACTTTCAGGAGTAGAGGCCATAGTGTCGTGGCGTATGTGGACTTGGTATATCAGTCAAAACGTATTTCCGGCATTCTCATTCTCTGAGCTTCCTTCATAAATATTTGGGGAACAACTACTTGCGACACTTCGGAAGCAGTGAAGAGTGCAAGGTGCGAGCTCATGGGCTACCATAGCTTTAACTTCAGTGCCACAGATCATTGACGCCAACTATCGTTTTCTGCACGAATGTAGACGCACGAGCCTCGTTTCATGGGGCACAGTTGGCAACGCTGATATCCTCCGCTTTATTTATTTTTACTCTGCGACCTAAAGTATTTTGGATCTTCTGAACTACACACTTTATAAACTCGAAATGAAGCCTCTCGTCAACGTTTCATCTTAATATCAGACTTGACAAAGGCAAGTACTTTAAACCCAACTACACAGCACAGCAAGTTGCGCGAATTATTAAAAAAAACGACTCACGGTAATTATTTTTTCGAACAACTACAGATATCAGTTATCTTGTTTATTTTCGCACCATTTTTAATGAAAGCGTGACTTGAGTATATACTCTTAAAACAATCCCGTATTATTTTCCTTTCAAGACTGATTTTGACTTCCTTTTTTCCTCGTTCTTAACGTGTGTATTTTTTCGTAAGTAAAGTAATGATAAAGTTTTTGAAGAAACCACCTCAAGAAGAAAATCATATAAAGTACAGAAGCCAAAACACCCAGTCCCGAAAAATGTAAAAAAAAATATAAATACAGTAAATGCTGTCAAAATCAATAAATGACGTTTATTCTAAAGCAAGCCTTCCGGGTTGACTTTCAATTTGAGGGATGCAGCTTGCGTCATCCCTCTTCAACCGTCAAAGGAAAGTGGGGCGCCAGCGGGGATACCTTTTCTCTTTTTTTTTTATCTTTAAGTCAGTGAAGAACGTCGAATCGAGCAACAAACTGAGATATGTTGCGCTTTGCGATATATAGTGCTTAGCGCTAGGGTCGAACGGCACCACCGGCAGTCATCGCTTGACACGATCGAATGCATGCTATAGGAGAAACGGGAAATCTCAATTTTATTACGTTAGTAAGTTCTCCGTCATGAAACTTCTGCCGTGTTTCCGCAAATAACAGTTAATATTGTGGGCAAGAATATTAAACGCGTTAGAATACCCATCTTGTTTAAATTAATGTTGTATGGTTGAGGGTCGATGGCGACTTTGTTGGGCGTTAACTGTGATGTGTTTAATGAGACAAGGGATACTGAGAGTTATTGTGGAGTACTCGTGATCTCGGAGTCATCAGAGCTCAGCAAACTAGAAGTTAGAAGGCCTTTACTGGGGACATTCCCATAGTTTTAACCGTGTGTACATAGTACTTCATGGTGAAAGTTTTTTTTTTGAACAGAAACTGAAACTCGGAGCGTGCCGTTCAGTCGCTGAACGTGCCGTTTATTTCGCAACCGAAGCAAGCGACCTCGGTAAAGTCGGTAGTGCTCCGGCCCATTTTTTTTTTTTTTTAATTGATGTTCGAATGTTTGACGAATGTTTATTTTCTCTCCAAGCACCCGATATAATCATCGTAGCACGTCATAAACTCGCCCTCGAGCACCGCGTACAAGCTTTCTATTTTTGCCTGTTTCTCCCTTAGACTTGCGTGTATTGCCTCATAATGTAATACGCCAAAACAACAAGGACGAAAGCGAAGGGAGAACTAGACAGGACGCGGCGTATTGCCTGCCGTCAAGCAATGGCCGCCGGTGAGGCCAGTGACGGGCTTCCGATCCGCTATCCAGACTTGCACTATGAGAGTTCGAATGCATTTCACCCGCGGAGTGCTGCACGGAGAGCCGGCCCCGAACGCACTTGCTGAATGCACCGAGTGCAGACTGATGCTGTCGCCATAGGTGTTGTAGAAAAGTAACGACCTGAAACCTAAACTAGCGCCTTTTTCTTCGGCGGGATGGGTGGGAATGCGAGAGGGCCAGTCGTTGCCATCGTTTATCTATAAACGTTGGTTCCTGCAACGTGTAACTTATATTTGCGATGACTTCCAATTAAGGAACTCGGCTCTCAGAGATATCTACAGACGGCGTAAGTTTCTGAAACCAGCTGACTACAAAACAGCAAACACTTGTGAAAATTGATGGCACTGTACGCGCAAGAGCTTGCATCGTTTTAAGCATAGTATTATGACTGAACCACTGAAAGGATACGGCTTAAATCTAGTTTTTGGAACATCTACCAATACGTTTGGTAAGACTTTTTATTTCCCTGGTGAGGGCATTGAGAACGAGAGCTTTCTCAAACTAAATACGACGGGGCAAGATAGTTGCGGTTCAAATATGACTTTGCTTGAGCCTTGGGCAACGTCTCCATGTTTAGCCTTCCCGGACGCTGAGTGAATGCGTCACAGGTTTCTGCAGTGGGAGCTTTGTCAAAAAATGTTCCACTTTTCACCCGCACACAGATGATGCGAGATCTAGCGGCCTCTGTGCATGTCCTGGGCCTTTCATTACACACTGATAGGTTTCAGCGTCTGTACGGCAAAGCGTGACTCAAATTTTGCAAATAAAACACGGGTCGTCGATTCCTCCCGTCGTGAGATATGAGACGCTTACAATTCAAGCTCGCGTTTGAGTTCGTGGCCCGCGGGACGCGATTTCAAGCAGAAAACTCACTTTTTCTTTCAGTTCCGCTGTGCGAATGCCGCATCGTAGTAGACGAACTCTCGTCGTCTGCTCTCGCTTCTCCCCTGGGCGAGGCATGACGGGATTGTAGGCGCTAGAGAGCTCAAAGAAAACGTAGAGCGAGCGGCGTGAACGCTCGCCTCCCCGCGCTGTCTTGTGCTCTCGTGCACCGCCTAGGGATCGCGGGGTTGCGAAGTTTAGCGCGCGCAGGGGGGAGGAAACTTTGCGGCGTTCTTTTGGTCACTCCCCCCGCTACGTCAGAAAGCGAAGAATGTTTTGCTCCACGAGTACAGTGTACTAGAATACTTGGGTAGTGTTGGGACCGGAGCGGCTCGACAACGGGAGCTCGTGAGGATGCGTGCATTGACAGTTCGTGGCGGCGCTGTAGTCGAGTTATCCGGCTCGCGCAGCCCGCCTTTTTTTCTTCTTTTTTTTTTCTTTTTTCTCCTTGAGCGGTGCATGTAGCGAAAGCTAGGAGCGCGAGCTCATAGCGTTGGCAGCTGCCCTTGGTGCACGGGAGCTCTTACCGCGGAGATGTGCCCTAGAGCAAGGAGCTCGCGCTTGTAGCCTTTCCTGGGGTACAACACAAGCTGAAACAGAGTATAGGGCACGTAAAAAAAATCGGTATTTTCAAATCTTTTTTTTTTTTTTTTTTAATTTTTGCGGTAGGCAAAGGGTTATTGAAATGTTTGATGGGCCATGGTGCAATTGCAGCTTTAAAGGGAGACATCATTAAAGGCCAACTTAATTTAAAAAGTTCGCGAACAAACAACGAGCTTTCAGCGAAAGTAACAAGGCGTTCGTTTTTGTTGTGTTTGTCCGTCCATTTTCGTTTCTTCCTCAAGCTTAATTATCTCTACCAACCCGCCCGTTCTGTCCTGAGATATTCATCGCTAAAATTTTGCCTTTCTTCACTTAATTAAAAAAACTGCGCGCTGAAAGCGCGAATGAGGTTGTGCTGATATTAATGCGTAGAAGAATGACGCAGGTTGTTTCTCTCCCCTCGTCACTAACTCGACAGCGTTTCTTCGGTGGACTCGCCGGCGCCACACATCAAGACGACTAAGTTACTATTCTACGTATTATTTTCATAACGCGGTTTCTGAATCAAGCGAAGAAAGGCAAACTTTTACGATTAATTTTGCGAATCTCGTTGCCTTTTCGCGAATTGTCGAAATTGTATTTGCCTTTAATAATGACTCCTTTTAAAACTTCAATTGCACCATGGCCAATTAAGCCGTTAATAAACAAGTTAACTAACAGATCTTGGTTCATTATTAAACATTGCAACGGTTATTCACCCATTCATTGTCAACCGAAACCTACAGATATAACGAAAGACAGCATCCACATATCTGCCAGATCCTTTTTTCGTAAAATATGTAAAGTCCTGTAAAGAATAAAACAAAAACACCCTGAATGTCTGCGTGAACCAGATACGCCCCCTGTGGAACCATGGGTGTTTCCCTTCGAATACCCTGCTCAGGCGAGACTTACCTGGTTGTCAGAAAGCAGCTGTCGGTTAAATGTATTGTTGTGAGCGTGTAGGTTTCAGATGGTTTACCCTCAAGAGGATAATGCGCTGCATATTGTAACCATGTATGCGCTGCACATTGTAGCCATTATTTCAATGCCGTGCTGTAAACTATTACAACTCTTTCCTTGCCTGATCTACGTGTGCTCATGTTTTCTGCTCAAAATGATGTGAAATAGTTTCTTGTTTTCTTTGAATCTTATAAAGCATTACTTGTTCAGCCCACATTGTCTCAGTTTTTGGACTTAAGTTAAATG